CAACCTCGAATTCTACACCCCCCCTTCCAATCTGAGACTGGTCTCAAATTTATAGCTATGTTTCCCGTCCTCCACAGTAGCCCACGTTTGTGCAAAGGGCTGACACGTCCCCCAAGAGGAGCCATACGGAAGGTGTATAGTTGGGCTGTGTCCTATTGCTCCTATTCTACTATCTCCATTATGTTCCCAAAAGGGGGTGGCAATGCAAGCTTACCACCCTCCCACCACCCGTTCAGCTTTCCCCAAAAGCTAACGTAGGCCGGAAGCCACCACCTCCACCCACCCAACATCTATATGCCATTCTAAATTATTCGCGCATTGTCCCAGCTTGATTCCATTGTCCGTGTCTGTCTCCACCGCTTATCCAGGGATAGTATACGCATTGGGAGAGGAGATAGATACCCGCCGCGAGAGAATATGCCGCACCTCGTCGTCCGCCACGAGACACCCGGTGACTGCCACCACGCGTTTACGCCATTTCACACCCTTCCCACCCCTCCTCCACCCCCCCCCCTCCCCACTCCTGTTCTCCCTCATTTTCCATAGCCAACAATTCGTTATATATACATCACCACACTTGTACAAGCCACTCTGTTTGAATATGTGTATTGGTGGCAGGGAACAAGGATGGGAAATATACATTCAACTGACCCTTCAACGGGAGGAGAGTGAGAAGCTGGCGATATATCTGACGTTAAATCCATCCACATTTAGAGATTGTTTGTCCTTCAATGGGGATGCCGCGCTTGCACTTATGCTGAGGATATGTACGTCAGGTCTGGGTGGGGAGGGGTGCTTGAAACGTATTAACGTGTGTCCGGGACGTCTCGCCTACTGGTACTCGGACATCCTCTTCATGCAGTTTGTAAAAGTCGTCATATTCTCGGATGGGGTTTTCAACGGGTGTGGGGGAGGGGAGGGGAGGGGGGCGAATGTCGCTGGTGAGGATTGGGAGTGATTTAAATTCAAGGGTTTTGGGGTAGATTGTTTTGGTGTGGTGCTATCGTTGGTAGAAATTTTTTGAAAATTAAGCAATAGTTGCACTTGAATTCTCAATGTTGTGAATTTGAATTCAATTTAAGGTACTTCAAACTTGTGGGTGATAAATTAATAATTTTTCTTGAAAGTACGTACAAGTTCCAGAATTTTTCTCGATTTCATAAGAAAGTTATTTGAAAAAATGGTATGGGGTGATCAATCCAGATTTATATTTTCAATTACACACTCATAATCGTAGTCCGCTGGAACCCGTTCAATTTACAATAAACCCAAGATATTTCGTATCGAATATGGAATAGATAAAGTGTTATAATGGTAAAGCGGATGACTATTACAGAAATATTACGGTAGTAAATTCGAAACGCTAGCGCGCATAATAATCTCCTAGAAACGATGAATGGGCACTTATGGAACGTTTAATAAAGTGTCGACGATGGGTTTACTATATCTATGTCGTGGATGTGTTTCCCTGTTGGGAATTACGAGGGTTGAAATTGTCGGCGGAAATGGGGAGCGAGGTCGCGCTACCCTCTCAGATGCATTCCTCGCATTTCTTTCTGCTCGAATCATCTGTGAGAATATTCGGAAACATTTATATCTCTTATTAATCCCATCAGGCTAGGAATATTGGTCTGTATTCAGAGCAGAACAATTCTTCCTTTCAAATCTGATAACATTAGACGGAGAGAAATATTCAGTAAAAATTACGGAACAATTCACGTTATCCGCAATGCGGAATCGTCTTCCGGCAATTTTTATAGCAATGGAAATGAAGAAAGCTGAAATGTTTAGTGAATTTTCAGGTTTATCACCGAACAAAGCACGAAATTGTCACGTAATTTTTCCCCAAGAAGTGAAATCTTACAGAAACTTCCCGACTTATTATGCCTCCAAAGTCAAAAATTCTTGAATGTTCAACAATTTTTATGAAGCTGGTGAGCAATTCTTACGTTCCGTTCCGCAAATTACCGTGCCGGTAGAGTAAAAATTACTGGACTGGAAGGGTAAAATTTATTATGCATCAGGATAAAATTTCTCTAACTTATAATAAAATTTGATTATCATATATTAATTTTTACTAAATTTCGGGATAGAAATGAGGAAACGATGACTCATGATACACTTTTATAGAACGGTAGGATAATTTTTATCAAAAAATTCTCTCCGTATACCCAGGATAATTTCCAAAGCGAAATCGTTGGAAAAATTGAAAAAAACTTGCATGTGAATTTCCAACATCATTCTCGCAATTATTTCCGTCAGACCACTCGGCAGACATGAACTCGCTCTCGTACGCCCGGCTGTTCGAGTTTCCAAACGATTCTTTAATCCTGTATATTTTCTCTCTACCTCCTCCCAATACTCTCCTCAAACGTAGTACAATTTTTTTTTCAAATACATGAACTCGCCCCCAAGCCACGCAGCTTTTCTCTCTTAATGATTATAAATCAGCCGCCCCACTCGAGTATCAGATACTTGAAAACACCGGGGGGGCGGGGGGGTTGAGTATCCCACCACTGGTCAGTCAGAAATACCCTCAATTTAACTCATAAAAACATTTTTCTCTCAATTGCGAGTTTCAGCTATTCACTTCGTTTTAAAATGTATTAATAAGTGAAAGAGTATGAGAGGAGCTTTTGTGAAGGTGGATATAGTCTGTATTCATGGTGCCCCCGCGTGAAATACGGGTCTGGCCTTTGACTGGGATATTGGTTCACCCTTGCACAGTCTCTTATTAACTTTCCCTCGTATCGAAATACACTCGAGCAGTAGAGGCGTCTCGGTTTTCGTGACTCGAATGATTTTTCAGGGACTGTAGATGCTGAGAAAGATAATTTGTTTGGATCGGATAGACACACCTTCGATACGGAACAAGATTACAATACACTGTAATCTTTTTTAAAAATTTAAACCTTCCAAAACTTATTTAAAGCCTAACTTGACGGAATCAATGTCTACACGGAGAGAAATATTCAATAAAAATTACGTATCTTTTCCGTAACTCCGGAGCGAAATGTGGGTATAGGAAATTTTACGGAACTGTCACGGAATTTTTTCGGAGCGTTCCGTAATTTTTATCTGAATCTCCTGTGAAAAATTACGATACCGTCACTTAAATTTTCTGAATCGATTCCGTAATCGGTGAGTGAATTGTGAGTTCCGTAATTTTTACTGAATATTTCTCTCCGTGTAGTCATGTTATTATCGCTAAACCTTATTGTTATTTCTCCAAATACCCTGATTCCTTCGCCGTTTTGTTATATGGGTTTGACACATAATTTTTTAAAGACAAATCAGTAGCGAAGTGATAAACGGGTTTCAGTCGACGCATCTCCCGGTTGAGTTTTTGAGGAATATTTCCGAATCTAAGGGAGATAGCGAAATTTTCGTAACTACATTTGTTGTAGCTCTCAATCGGCTCCACAGAAAAGGTTATAACAAAAATTTTGCTATCTCCCTTAGATTCCGAGATATTGATTGAAGACTGGTCAATAGTCAAAATTGACTCATACCGTTTTACCACTTCGCTACTGAAATTAACTAATTACTTGAAATTAGAAATTGTCTTGAGACGAATTCTCATTTCCTCGTTTGGGGAATTTTTTCATCTGAGAAAAAAAAGTTTCTCTAAAATTCCAATCCCCAAACTACACAATAGCGGCTTTTAATCCCCGAAGAATCCTCTCTCCTCGGTTCACCAGAGTTATTCCTCGCTCAAATGATTATCCCTAACGAGGCGAAAAGAGAGACAGAGTGGGGTGGAAACACTTTCGTGCCTCCTTCCACCTTCTACTATGCTATACTATCCGTTAATAGTCCTTGAAAGTTAAACCACCACTTGAAACACGACCATTATCCCTGGATGAGTGCGTAGTGGTGCACGTGCACTTGCGGCTAACTTGCGTTTAACAATTCTCGTGTACAATATCACTTTCATTCGCCTTCCTCTTTCTGATCTCATCTCACTCCGATATCCCTCTGTTACCAATATTTTTCGACGTAACAGGTATCAACAATAACTCCGAGCAGGTAGCACACAACTGTGAGGGAATGCACTTCAGATCCTCTCGTAACACGCTTTGCGTTTTTCATTGTTACTTTTATTGTGTACAATTTACACTCGAGTACGGAGTGGGCTGTGGGATAAAAAAGAGGCCACACTCGTTGAACCGCGGGTTTTTGGCAGCTTTCAATCAATACAATAGCCCCATTCGAATGTTTTTGGATGATGATATGACCATCAGCACTTGAGAGAATATTCCGTTATTCATTTTTCGAGAGTTCATATTCCATGGAATGAAGCATCGCAGTTCAACTACTCTGGCTCAGTGGATCCTCATCAAAAAAATATATCCGATATGTATCCCAATTAAGTGGATCATTATATTCATCTTTAACCATCAAATAGTTTTGCTACTCGAAAATCCCATCGACATCCTATCTCTATTCTTGGACTTGTTCCTGACGGAGTCAGTCTTCAATAAACTGATAGATAGATAATTTATTGCATCTGTGCTATTGCACTTATACAAGGGGGTCACAAGGCTGGTCGCTCGGTACAATAAATGCAGACATAAATAAAAATAATACAGAAAGATACAATCTCAATCACGGAACTTAATAATAGGAATTCAGAAATTACGAGTCCATTTCTTGTTTCATTTTGTTCAACCTTAAAAAGCAAGGGAAAACCAATATAACCTCAAGTTTATCAATTAGCAGTTTTTCAAAACGATGGCTTCAGAAACATAGTTAAATAAATTTATTGCACGTTGATGAGAAGTGATTGTTAGAATTTGCGAAGTCAGATTTACTGAATAAAGTTCTAAATATGAAGTGGAAAACCTCTCCTGTCACCAGTGATACCGATTACTAATAATAATTTCAAGAAAATCTTCAATCAGGTTATGAAACCCCCCTCTAAATGATCAAAAATAAAAATCAGCTTTCGCTCAGACATTTATACTCCCAACTATTTTGAACTTAATTTATGTTTCCAGGTGCCAAAAGAGCGAGATTAACCATAGACTCACTGACCGAGGACGACAGAGACTCGGATTCAGGTGCCGAAGCGAGGCCGTCGGCCAAATCGAGATCCCGATCCCGATCTCGTTCCCGTTCCCACTCAGCAAGCCGGACTCATGCCAGTGGATCGAGTGGCCACGGTATGACGAATGAATCGGATTCACTGATCGGAAGGAAGAGGGAAAACAGTGGTAACGAGACGGACGACGGGAGCCCAGACCCGGGGACTCCCAGCCCCACCCACACGCCACCCTTGACGCCAGCGCTGACTCCACAGAGGGTTGACACTCCTGCGCCTGAGAATCTCAGTCTGAGAAAAGCGTCGAGCTCCCCGCAAACCCCGACGCAAGCGGTTTTACAGGCAGTGGATCTTGTTCAACCGAGACACAGTCCACCGCCATCTTCTTTAGCGGTAAGACATGAATAATTGAGGAATTTAGTCAGTTGGTAAAGTTGACATTTGGTTTTTTCATTGATGATTTCTCATTGTCTGCCCCAACTCCTGTTCGTTTCACTCAAGGACGCCGAAAAGGCCAGCAGATGGCACTCGAGTAGAATATGTTCCGAACAAAGCCTTTTCATTTGGATTTTTTACATAACGAGACCGAACGCGCGCTACTGCGCGCTGTAATTGTAACAATCATCACTGAAAATCTCAAAATTGAATCAATCATGAATTAAATTTGCCGCCTCAGACGACTGGAACCAGTGAGGAATAAGCGTGACAGACTTGCGAGATATCGATAGTTATCGACTTTGAGTGTATGTTCTTTTTAGAATAGGATTCAAGAGATCGAAAAAAACGGTTACGTTCAGTCATTAGGCTCTAATTTCCATTTGGAAGCTTCGCCCCCTGGACCCCCTTTTCTCGTGGGGGGCTTCGCCCCCCACACCCCCCACTCCCCCCCCCCTCCGCCGCCAGACTTCATCACGCACTTATCATATAAAATAGTATACGCAACACGTGCGGACAGCAGGCGGTCTCAGTAACCGCCTGCTTTCCGCACTAGTTGCGTAATGTACTATTACCCTTCCAGTGCAGTAATTTTTAAGTAGATAGCAACGAAAATTCAAGAACGGTTGGTAAATTTTACTCTACCGGCACGGTAATTTTTATTTTTATCAGGATAAAATTTCTCTAACGTGGAATAAAATTTGATCATCATCGATAATTTTTACTAAATTTCGGGATAGAAATAATGAAACGATGACTCATGATACACTTTTATAGAACGGTAGGGTGATTTTTATCAAAAATTTCTCTCCGTGCATAACACTTGCCCCCAATCCGCCCTAACATCATAGCCTCATCTCTAACAATGTTTTTTCAATTATCTCTGTATAATCGCGCATTTCCTAGATAATCACGAAAAACTAAAATTAATATTCGACCCGGTTTTCTGAATTCAGGCGGCAGCAGCAGCCGCCCACTTCTCCCCTTACGCTCCCCTTTACGGCCCAGCGGCGAGCTCCCTATACTGCTCGCCGGCTCTGTATCAACCCCAACACCATCATCACCACTTAGGCACTGAGCCCCGAGAGATTCAAATGCAGATGCAAATGCAGATGCAAAATGTCCAGGCGTGCGGCCTCCAAGTTCAACAGCATTCACAGCAGCAACACCAGAGATCGCCAGTTGATGTGTTATTGAGGGTCTTTCCAGGGAGACGTCGGGCTGATGTTGAGGCACTGTTGCATCGTTGTAAAGGTAAAAAATGAAAGTCAATCAGTCAATCTACCAATTAATCCTCCAACCTCACAATATCAAAACTAATGATGCATTTCACCCCTTCCCCCCTTCGTAGCAGAATCATAATTTTTTTTTATTAAAAAGGCACACATTATGACGTCATTTCTTGGTAGTTGTGTCACACAAATATCTCAAAAGCCTGCCACACTGCTGACTGAGTCTATTATCTCATTCGTCTATTTTCACGCCATAGAGACGCGCAAGTGCGCGCCGTCATTCTAGTCATTTTTCAAAAGACGCACACGTCATGACGTCATTTGACAAAAAAAATGTCTCAAAAATATCGAATGAATATCGCGAATATCTGAAAAGCCTGTCACACTTCCAAGTTCCCGTATTCGTCTATTCTCACGTCATAGAGGCGCCCTCATTTGAATCCTTCAAAAGACGCTCACACACGCCATGACGTCCTTTCTGAAAAGTTGTCTCAAAAATATCGAATTGAATATCGCCAATGTCTTGAAGCCTGTCACACTTAATTTTCCATATCATTCGTCTATTCTCACGTCAAAGAGGCGTGTGAGAGCGCGTCATCAAACTAGTCAACTTAAATTCCTGATGATAAGTTGATAATTGTGCAGGTAATGTAGTCTCAGCAATGGAGGTTGTAGTCACACTCCTGACTGTGTCTACCATCCCATTCGTCTATTTTCACGTCACAGGCGCCCCCATTTTAGTCCTTCAGAAGACACGCACACACGCCATGACGTCATTTCTGAAAAGTTGTCTCAAAAATATCGAATTGAATATCGCCAATGCCTTGAAAGCCTGTCACACTTCACTTTCCATATCATTCGTCTATTCTCACGTCATAGAGGCATGTGAGAGCGCGTCATCAAACTAGTCAACTTAAATTCCTGATGATAAGTTGATGATTGTGCAGGTAATGTAGTCTCAGCAATGGAGGTTGTAGTCACACTCCTGTGTCTACCATCCCATTCGTCTATTTTCACGTCACAGGCGCCCCCATTTTAGTCCTTCAAAAGACACGCGCACACGCCATGACGTCATTTCTGAAAAGTTGTCTCAAAAATATCGAATTGAATATCGCCAATGTCTTGAAAGCCTGTCACACTTCATTTTCCATATCATTCGTCTATTCTCACGTCATAGAGGCGCGCGAGAGCCCGCCATCAGACAATTCAACTCAAATTCTTCACAATAAATTGATAATTGCGCAGGTGACGTGGTCTCAGCCATGGAGGTCCTAGTCTGCGAAGACAGTCTCCAACCAAAATCGGCATTCTCCCCCCTGGCGGGGGCGCTGGCATCAGCAGCAGCGGCCTCAGCTGCCTCATCAGCCGGTGCTTACGTATCCCGCGGTGGTTACTGCGGCCCCAGCCCACCGACCCGCCACAGGTTCCTCGCAGCTCCCTACACGGGGACCGGTTACCTGCCCACCGTCATAAGGCCACCAAATCAGGGCTCACACGCTAATGGCACGGGCGACGCCTACCGGGAAACCAGTCCCGATGACGCAAGCGACAAAACCAGTTACTCCGAGTGACCTACCGAACTCGTTCATCAGATACCCTGGAGCTACCCATAGCCCCTGGCATTACCGATCTCGAGGGAGGGGGGAAAACAGAAGAGGAGGTACAAGAGGAGGGCGAAATGAGAATGAATATGGGAGACACTTCAGACATCTTCTATTCAAGTGAAGGAACAAATTTAAGGTAGTATGGTCGTCTCGACACTCCAGTTGTTGCATCTCAGAAAAAGTTGATATTATTGAGAGGAAAAAAAATTTTAGGAGAGTTCCGTGAAATTTAAGGCGTTTAATTAGAATAGAATGGGATTGAACTTTTCAACGCTCATGTTGATCAAGGAATTTGAATCCATGTTCGAAAAAAAATGAAACTTTAGGGACTGTTTTGTAGTAAATAATTTTCAGGAGAGCAATGTTAAATTTGATTTGGGGAGAAGGGATCATTGAATTTTAAATTGCAGTAAAAATTTTTGAGGTTTTTTAGCAAGGGGGGCGATAATTTCCCAACTTACTTGAATTTTCAATCTAAACATGAATATTTACTATGAAATCACGCCTGAAAGTACTTTTATGGGAATAATTGAAGTGCAATTTACACTTTCCATTGATTTCTTCATCATAAAAATGTGAAATTCTTTGAAATTTCCGTGGAACCGTAAATTGATGAAAATTTAGACCTCAAATTTGTCAAATTTCCCTATTTACGCAAAACACCAGAAAAATCGGAAAAATCGGCCTAAATAATTTATAATAATTGATAAAAAATTAATTTCTCTTGACCGACAAACTTGCAACTTGCAAGTTAATTATTAGTTCACGAACAATTTTTTTACCTTTTGGATGATACAGTGTCCGCTTAGGTCATGAACTTCAAAGAAAAAAAATCAATTTATTTTCAATGCCAAAATGAAAATTATTTTAATTCACTCATATTTTCAGAATGAGCTTATGACCATGCTACCTTAACCGCTGTCCAATACCTTTTATGTGTGTAGATAATCACAACTTATAACGAATGAAGAAATAAAGACTTAATAGTGTGAACGTAGATAGAATCGTTGATATAAATACAATAAATGATAAAAACAAATTCTAATGAAATAGTGAAACTAATAGAAAATACAACCCTGTAAATAATCGTTCATGATTTTAAGATAAATTACGTATTATCTAAATTTATTCGGTATATCATCTTGCAATATACATTCAAGAATATAAATATATATATAGATGAAATATAATGTGACAAATTTTCTTTTTGGTGCATTTAATGTTCTGACGAGAATGGACGTGACACGAGTTATTGAGTTTGAAATGTATAACATTGAATTTTGACCACGTGATTGTGTGAAACGATCATCTTGTATAGACCGGAAAACCTCAATAAATCAATCATCCAGCATAAAAAGATGATTTTTCATTGATTCTACATTTCTCTGGTGAATTTTTATTTGTGCTCACCCCCTCCCCAAGAAATTCCCCTCCCCCCCCCCTTCAATTACAGGGGGATGAAAAAGAGAGTATCTGGGTTACCTGAGGGATGTTTCCTGAGGCGGAAGTAATTCATTTCGTGTTCAAATGGCAAAGCGTCCCTCAATTAAGTCGAGAGTATCCGATTTCCGGTGAAAAACCTGGAAAATAAGGGGAATTCAAGAATCCTGTCCCCCACCCCCACTGGAGGACGTCAAGTGGGTGATTTTTGGGCACACATGAGTGGAGATGAATGGGTAGAGGAGAAGAAAAATAACAAGTTGGATTTTATTGTCAAATGATCAGGGAAGATATTCTTTCTCTTTGAATCGAAATCGATTACGTGGATTTTATCTTATTTCTGTGGAAGGCCTTCCACGTTGTAATCTCACGACTCTCGATCACACCCGCGGGGTCGGGCGGGGGGCGAAGTCCCCCCCCAAATTGTCGAACAGGAGGCGCAGTCCCTCAGTTATTATTATAATTATTGCCATTATTATTTAAACAAAATACAATAATAATAATGATAACAATTATAATGCATTTGTGTTGCTCGCGTGGAACTGCCCGACGTGGTTACTCGCATCGCAGCGCCGCGCCGTTGCCACAATTCATTCGGAGAGTGGACTCGCGCGGAGGTCTTTCCACTCTTGTGTGGCAACGCCGTGTGCGATGTTTCCATGACGCGGCCAGTCGCGTCGCGGCACGGCGCCGGATTTTTTATTTCCAGTTAAAATAACAGTAAATATTCTCTATGTTGAATATGCTTTTAGACAACATCAGTGAAGCATACAAATTTGGCTCCGCTCGGCGTCAACAAAATTGTTGATAATTATTGACATGAGTGGAGTTTTGAGTTCGAATTGGTCTCAAATTACGCGTGAAAGTACCGCGAATCGAATAACCACAGTTTAATATGAGAATTCAGCGTTTGAAACTATCAAAAACTTTAATTAAAAGTCCACAAATTTTGAACTGTAAAGACCTCAAAACTTCGTTACGTGTTTTTTCATATTTAAAGTGGTAAATAAAGTGAAATTTTTCCGACAATCACATCCTATCATCAAATTCTTCATGATCAGGAACAGAAAGAAATTTTCAAGTTGATGGTTGTGGAGAAAATCGGGTGAGCGGTATTACCCGCTGAGCGGTACAGGCACACCCTTCCCTACTCGCCCATTTCGTCAACATCTCCAACAAAATAACAAATATTCTTCATTAAAAAAAAAAGCAGATGTTGAAACAGAGGTATTTAGTCGCCTAAAATGCAAATACGTCATTCGCTCATACACACTGAAAATCTTCTCTGGCAAATTCAATTGTCCTAGCAATGTGAATGAAATTGCACAGTGGTTTTTGTTAGTGAGATTTCACGTACAAACACGAAGTGAATAGGAACAATGAATAGTGCGGCATCGATACTCGGTATAATCCAGGGTAAAGTTTATATCTCCTATAGTCGACAATGGTTCCTGTTATTAACGAGCAACCGAGGGCTAGGATATCCGTGTGTGTTTATATGTCTGACGGCAATATAGAGACACCCCCCGTGGAGGATCAAGGGGAGTGCGAGGTGGGTGGCTGTGGGGGAGGGAGGGGGAGGGGTGGAGTGATTTGAGTATGCGCTGGCGCACTCCCGGAAAATTTCCTAAATTCTCATTGCCTCCTCACTCTCGCCGTCTGAACCCCACTTGCTTTTATATAATATAACCCAGGGTTACACTCTGGGGGTTATATTGTCTGCAATTTGCAGCTCAACGGGGAAACCTAAAGTGGAATGTTAAGCCTCATTTAATTGATATAAGCCAATTCAGTTGCTCAAAAGTTCTCTCATCCTTGAAAATTCCCGGGTTGATTCGTTTCTTCGGTGTCACTGGGTGTCAATGGAGGAGTCATTGTTGCTGATGAAGGTAAAAAAAAGTGGAGAGATGAAGGACATCATTGATGATACGGTTTAGGTGAATCTGAACAGAAGAACTGATTTTGAATGGCTGAAGGGCGATTCTTTTTGTTTCAGAAACTCCCGAGATGTGATTGACTACGTTCTATTATTAAAATAGAATTTTTACTTTTGAATGGAAGCATTGCAATCGTTCCTATTTAAGTTTTGGTTTTTTTGTGTTATATCGACCCATTATGATCCAAAAAGTGCGAAAATGCAATTTTTGTGGTGAAGTTTTTCTTCAATTGTTCTCTAATGAACGGTTGGAATTGAATCTTTGTTTTTCAAATGTAGAGATTAAAATGCTTAAAACAGTCTAGGGCCTCTAATTTTTGAGCTACAAAAGATTTTTTTTTTCCAAATTTTCGGAAAAATGTGTGGAACAACAATTACGAGCCTGTTTCTTGGAATTTGACTCCTACACAGCTGATTTCGGTTTTTTTCATACAAAAAAATTCACTATTGGTGTAAAAAAATACAAAAAAGTAAATTTAGCCATGCAAGAGGCGAATTAAAAAAAAAAGCTCGTAACTGTTTTGTAAAAATAAAAATTGTGAAAAAAAAATCCTTCGTAGCTCAAAAATTGGAGGCCCTGGACTGTTTTTGACATTTTAAGCGGTTTCTGGCAAACGAACAATAAAAAAAATTTTTTTTGCACTAATTATTCGTTTTCAGATCTATATAATCGATCTTCAACGTATGAAAAGTCTCACTCCAATAACCCACGACTTTTGAAACTCATAGTAGTCTCCCCTTAATAAAATTTTTTTTTTAATCGTTATTTTACATCGCTTCGACCCGGTTAGGGTATACTGCGATGGTGATCAAGACTTTAAATGGTTAGATCGCACCATTCTACCCGGCCGGGATTTGACCTCGGAACCTTTCGCATGTGCCCTCAATAAAATGAAATAAACTGTTTGTGTAAAATTCTGAAATTGATGATAAAATTGTCCTAAAAACTGAAATGATTAAAAAAACAAGGGACCCCGAAAATACCTCTTCCCCTCGAGTTTTCACTTCGTGGAAGCATCACCACTTGAACAGGAGTATCCGATGGATTCACTTGGACTCTTCAAAGAGTCAACATTTCGACTAAATACACCGGTCGGCAACACTTTTTATCTTTTTTCAAGAATAAGAAAGACACTCGTCACCTGTGTCACTGCAGTGTGCCCCTTACGAAATTGGGGAGTACTATAACAGGTAGGCGGATAGGTAAATGGGAATATATACATTTGACTGGAAAAAATCTCTGTTGGAGGTTGAAGTGAACACTCTTGGCAAATATTGATACAGAGTGGTCAGAAAACGTTAAAAGCTAAAGAGCCACCCGTCATCTACCGTTTTATTATTTTTGCTATGATGCCATGAATCTTTTTAAATATATCCACTAATATCTCAAATACGTTTAGAAACAGTCTTTATTTTTTTAATACAGAAAATACAACACAATAATGCATGTAAATTTGCATTTACATTAGGTTTTTAAAATGTTGCTTAAAATATTCGATAATACATTTCACTTGAATCAATGTCCAACATGATTATTGAAGCTCCCAAGGGGAACCATAAGGCCTCAAAAAATAATTATATGTGCTGACCC